CCGGAGAGTGGATGGAGACATCGGGAGAGCGTTATAGACTCGTTGCTCGAGAATAATCGTACATAATGCGCCCAAATCCGAACCAGATTCGGCACGACATACATACGGTTCACCTGGGGTTGCCGCTGTAAGCCTGATGGCAATTGGACCCAAAACCTTGCGGGACGACTCCGCGTCTCGAGTTATAGAGCTCTCTAGATTTCGAATCGTCAAGTTTTCGCGGCGCTCCTTAGTCCCAGCTCGCGACCCTCATGTGGTCATGTTGCACCCGCCGCCTGCCCCCCTCTGCTTGCTGTGCTACAGGCGCTTGAGCTGACCTTGAATCCAGGTAGGCAGGCGCCCGTTAAGCGCGCGAGGAAATGAGCGAGCGACAAGAATTGAACACGCCTAATACGTGGTTACGCAGCCTGCTACGTAGCCAGTTGCGTACAATTGTAAACACTCTGGAGCCTCCTGCCACCTTCGATCCCTCACAATTTCGCATTGCTTACAACTAAATGCATTCAATGTTGTTGCCAAGCGCGAGGCAGCCTGAGACCCCTGAGACTATGCTGCCTGACACGCTCGAAGGACAGCGACATATGTTGGTTCTCGCTCGTGGCCCAGGATTCCTTGCAATCCGATTGCTCAGTGGTGGTCCCTTCTTGAGCAGAGTACGCCTTGCCACAAGACGATGCAAGAGGCATGCCAGTGATCTGTAGTTCGATGGGGATAATGACCGCCTCGTTCTTCACCGCAGCGTTGTGGGATTACCGGGCATGTTGATGATGCATGTGCGACAAAGGACAGCGCCTCAACACACGGACGATGCATTCGGGCCGAGACGATTGATGCATTCCCAACAGGCGCATCCAGGGGCCCTCCGGATCGCCCATGTTTGCTGATCGCACCGAAGCTCTTCATAGCACGGGCTCCCGCCGACCAGATAGAGGCGGTCTCACTTACGGCGTACTGGCCGGCTCAACGTTCACTGAGGGTTTCATGCCAGCGGGTTCGGATCCATAGTACTAGTCTATAACGCAGCGCTAATTCCGAAAGGTGGAAGGCGATTACTCACCGTCGCTTCCGACGTTCCTGGTAACTACAAGAACGCACTACCTTGCGTAGCAGACCTTGTCATCGAGCGAGCTCTGGTTTGCGCTGAAGGTATCCCCAATTCTTCGGAGGGTCTCGCGATGCGATCCAATCGTGCGGGCGTCTCGCGGAACGGCTTGTCTTGGCACGGTGAGGCGGGGCGACTGCGTGGCTTTCGCTCCTTGACCACGACCTCCGGACGCCCAGGAGCATCTCGCAGTCCGCAATGTCTCTTTTACGCGACGCGCTCCTTTACCGATCGCCGACAACGACTTGCGCCAGCAAGAGCGCAGTTCAGCCGGTCCAGAGGCCTTCATACAAATAGCTGCGGTTCGCGCATTGTCGCGAGTGCCCTATCAGCACGGTCGTCGCTCGGTCTTGGCCCCCTCGTCTAGCTTGTTGCCTTACTTGCTGATCTTTTGCTTGGCATTCGACCCTTCGGGAACACCGGTCGTGGGGTGCTGTCGTTCATATCAACGCCTGGGGGGACCTCGGTAATCGCTCCATAACTCCTGTGCTGTTCCCCACGCGTCTCTGGCAAGTCTTTCTCTCCGCACACCTCGCGTTTCCGTCGCTCTCTTTCTCTCTCCCCTCTCGCCACCCATGTCGAGCCCAGCTCTTCCAAGTCTCACTCCCGATATCGAGAAAGCTAACGGTCAATCTCCGAACAGGGTCATGACAGACCAGGAGCGCGGGTATGCACGGATTCCGGACGTTCATGACGACATGGAGATGCAGTACTTACACCCGAAATATAGCGCCGACGCCGCTCGAGGTCACGAATACGGCTCTGGTCCTCATCCTGGAGCAGCTCCTCCGGTTGAGCAGAGCCACAGTCATGGATCGTACGGCGCAGCATACGATTACGCGTCGGATAGGGCGCAGGAGTTCTGGGACCGGCTACGAGGCAAGGGTCGGCGGAAGATTGGGTGGGGCGAGAGTCTGAAGAACATCGTTCTCTCCTCTTGTGAGTGCCATCTGCTTCCGTGCGTGGTAACGTGACTAGACATCCACGTCGCGTGTCGCGCAGGGCTTAACTGTCTCTTCCTTGCCATCCCTTTCGCGTGGGCGTCACATTGGGTGACGAAGAAGAACGCCGAAGGAGAGCGTGAGCCTCTATGGGGACAAGACGTGACTTTCATCTGTGAGTGTGCATCTTCGCATGTTACTGGTGTGATCTCAAGACGCGCGATAGTGTGTTTCCTCGCTATCATTCCTCTGGAAGGAATATTTGACTGGGGTGGCGAGCAGATGGCCTTGTACCTTGGAAAGGACCTCGGGGACCTCGTGGTCGTCACTCTGAACAAGTGAGCATCTGCCGCCAGGACCTGTGTATAGATGTTGAAATGCCTGGCTGCCCGCAGTGCTGTGGAGGCGGCGTTAGCGATAGTGCTCCTCATCAAATGCGAGTGAGTGAGATGTTGGTGTATCTGCAAGGCTGAGACGTTCTGAACTTCGTGGCTAGGCTTCGTCTCCTTCAGGCAACGATCGCAGGTGGGCACCATAGTTCTGGCAGTCTTGCTGAACGGTGTCGACTCAGTACCCACTCAGGCGTGGTTCTTCTGCATCTGCTGCTCATCCCGGGCGTCGCTTTCCTTGTCGGCGGCACTGAAGTTCGCCACCAAACACTCCATCCACACCAGACTGATATGAACCACTCGTTGCTGATGATTGGGTACGAGTTCCTCACGTCTTGGCTATGCTCAGGGCAATGTCAACCTTTCTGTCAGCGTCCTCGCAACACTCCTTCCCACTGCGTTCTTCGCTGCTCTCGACCGAGGTGCGAACTCAGTTGCCCAAGGCGCCACTGACGTATCGACTGCGCTTGTAAACGACAACATCCGCGACGAGATCCTCCGCATCAGCCGTGGTATCTCTGTCGCTCTCCTCGTTGTGTAAGTGGAGCCTCGTTGTTCCGGCAATTGGGCTCAAAAATATGTAGTTATGTCGCCTCGCGCATCTATATGCACAATCCACCAGGCGAGAACAATGCACTGACCGTCCCGCACGACGCACCCCCAGAACTCAAACATGCGGAGCAACACCTGCGTGAAGAAGAGCCCCTCACAAACCCGTGGGCGTGCATCATCCTTCTGCTCGTCACTGTCGCGGTGATGTCTGTCACTGCGGAGATGGTCCGTCTCTCTTCACAACTCGGTTCCTACTTGTCTGCCAGTGGCTCATGCATGCATGCCTCGTTGTCCGTGACAGCTTGTCGAGAGCATTGAACACGTGCGGGAAACAAGTGGTATTCGGGAGGAGTGGTTTGGGCTCATCCTTCTGCCGTTCGTTTCATTTTCTGCGGACGGCGCGGTCGCAGCCATCTTCTTCTGCCAGGCGGTGTATGATCGGATCGCGAACAAGGAAGTCCAGGTGCCTTCGATGCTTGCGCGGGGCCGAGCAATCGACCTGTCCATCCAGTTCACGCTGTGGTGGATGCCGTTCCTCGTACTCTTGGGCTGGTGGACGTCGAAGCCTATGCATCTCCTCTTTGGTATACAGTCTTCATTTCCGACGCGCATCACTCACTGACATCTGTCTATTGCTTTTGCGAAGATTACTTCGAGGTTGCATTGCTCCTCGGCTCGTGCTTCCTCGTCAACTACATCACCGCAGACGCGAAGACGAACTGGGTGGAGGGTCTCATCATGGTCGCCTTCTACATCATGATTGTGCGTGTTGTTCATACATGGACCCTGCTTCGCCTCGCTGATGGCGCGGTGCTCCAGGCTCTGACAGCGTGGTACTACCCGGGACAGCCCTCCGCAGAGTTCATGCTCGCATGTACGGAGACCGTAGCGGAAGCCGTATCTTCTGGAGGGTCGGAGGCAACCTCGGAACTCGCCGCTGAGGCCGCCAAAGACGCCCTGCTCGTCACCCATACCTGGCGTAGTCTCCTGGCATAAGATCCTTATTCTTTCACGCTATCTGATACACTGCACGCGGACTAATAGGATCCCATTGGGCTCCTTCCGGTTACATACTCTGTTGTATACTGTCGTCGCTAACGATGCTTTTATCACTAACTTTAACGCAGCCCGATAACCATCACGTATTGACATTCACGAAAGAGAGCCTTTACTTGTATGCACGTCCCAGGAAGGCCGGATATGCCATCGGTGTGATGACAGTCCTCCAGATGCGCATAATGATACAGGTAATCTACGCGACACTCGGTGCTGAAGCCATTCTTACAGGGCCACCTGGTGGCCGCCACACTCATAGGCTTCTGCTCGGTACCCTTCCCCACCACGGAATCTCTCTATAAAGTGCGGCGCTAAAGTACACCACTATTCCTAGTACGGAGGACCAGGTTTGGTGACTGAACGCCTCATGGTTCCGACGCGTCTCAAATCGAAGAAGGGCGCACATCCAACCCTTCCGGAGACCCTCTTGTCCGAACTCGTCCCAGCTAGTAAAGTATGCCTCTGGTGGCCTGACGCCCAATCCGGAGAGTAGTCATGGTAGGATTTAGCTCGGTGCGCGGGTGCACAGCAGCGCGCACGGTAGCCTTCCCATCGCGACAGCGCTTGCACCTTGCACCTTCCTCGTGTAGAAAGACTCTTCAAACCTCTCAAGCTTCAAAAAGCATTGACAGGCAACCCCCGTAACTTGTGTCTGCGTTGTCGCGCTTCGCTTGCCAGTCTCACTTGTCATTCTTATTGCCATTTCATGTCGCAATTCGTCCAAGAAGGCCACACCCCGCAGAAGTATCAATTGCCCTCGGCCGTAAAGGCTGTATTCGGTTGCGTCAAGGTAAGTTGTCAAGGAAAGAAGTGTAAGTAGTTCTCCATTATGGTACAGACTAAGGTGAACACCTCATCTGCTGCCAGGGTGCTGGATTCCCCTTACGACTATTCTACTGGCGCTCGCATGGACCGCGCATTTCAATGTTCAGAGGTTTGGCCACGGACCTACGTTCTGCCGTGAGTTTTTTTATACTTCACACTATGTCCCACTAAGCATTTCTATCTGGATCTTCGTAGTATGCTTTCTTGCCCTGCTACCTCTTCATGAAGCGTTCGACTGGGTCGGAGACGAATTGGGTCGACACTTTCGGAACAGGGATTTGAAAGATCTCCTTGTAATTACTCTGAGCAAGTATGTCATTTCGTCTCACCATGATTGCTGTTTTGACAAACGCTTACATAGCATTAGTGCCATAGAAGCCGCACTGGCTGTAATTCTGCTGTTCAAGTGCCAGTACGCTTCCCGGCTAGTTTATTCCTAGACCTCCTGAGCTAAAACTCCCGGTCAGCTTACGGCTTCTGCAGTCTACTCTTATAGGTGAAGCAGCCTATAGCCGTCTTTCAGCTCACCTATGTCACTGATGACTGCCCCACAATAGGTGTCATGCTTCTGAACTTGCTCCTCGTACCTGGCACAGCGTTCTTCATTCGAGGCGCGCAACTTTTCTTCAGCCCGAAGACCGCGCCCAAAAAGGAAGGTCCCCAACTTGAAATGCCCGAGCAGAAACTTCATCAGTATTCAAGCCTGAATCATTCCCTCTCGATGGTCGGGTGCGCGGTCTGCAATTTCCGTATCTATGATTTAGTACTGAGTATGTCGCCATCGTACCAGTGTCCTGGCGATAGCAGTGCCCACCCTTTTTTTCACTGCACTGGACAGTGCAGACGTGACACTAGAAGGCATGGACTCGTCTGGACTTCCGCCTTCCTTCCTACCGCTCGTGAGCGACGCAGAACGATGGAAAATACTGTGCATGAGTAGGGGCATTTCAATCATGCTTCTCGTGATGTTTGTCTTCAAGTACCTTTCCCTAACATGTGCCCGCGTTATTGAACATTTCCGATCAGATACGTTGTATCCTGCGTATTCCGTCATGGATCCGGGACGCTCATGTGCGGGTGCCTCAGGAGCAGCGTGGGAGCTCAGAACGACGAGGTGGGAACTCAGATCGACGACTTGGAGGTGGAAACCCAGAACGACGACTCGAAGCTGGGAACTCAGACCGGGAAGGATGGCCCGGACGAACCCAGTCACGAGAACTGTCCTCACTGGGTCCATGCTGGGATCATAGTTGTTGCAATGGCCTTTATGGGCGTGACAGCTGAATTTGTGAGTACTCTATGGCGCTCGGGACATCGTTTTAGTTGTCCGCTTACGCCCTGATGATAGCTGGTTTCCACCGCCGAAGAGATCCTGGAAGTGACTGACATCCAAACCGAGTACGTTCACGTCCACAGTCTACTTCGGTCAGCTTTCACCCAGACTAGCGACATAGGTGGTTCGGCCTCATCCTGCTCCCATTGGTCTCTTTCTCTGCGGATGGGACGGCCGAAATCTGGAGGTTCATTGTCGATATCTGGAGATATAGACATCCACATCCGCCGGCGAAGGAGCAAGCCGCAAACTCGGAGCAGCAAGCAGAAAATCCGGAGGGGCAAGCCCCAAACCCCAGCTCGAAGGATCCTGAGAAGGGGAAGGTCGAACGGAAGAAACCTTCGTGGGATGACCCTTCGCGTATTTCAAAGCTCGCGCACGGACGTCCTATCGACTTGAGCATCCAATTTGGCCTTGGGTGGATGCCACTGCTGGTGTTGCTGGGATGGTTTTCCGGAAAGCCGATGCATCTCCTATTCGGTGAGTCTGAACCCGTCTCGTTAGTATGCGCTGGGCTTATCCGGAGCGCACCTTCCAGACTACTTTGAGGTGGGGGTGCTATTTGGGGCCTGTCTGTTGATGAACTACGTCACCATCGACGCGAAGACGAACATGTCTGAGGGGGTGACGATGGTATCCTTCTACGTGATGATTGTACGCCCAATAATTCCTCATTCCTGCAAGCAGCAGTTGATCGAAAGGGATCCGTATAGGCCGCAGCAGCATGGTGGTACCCGGGACAACCGCACGTTGCGGAAATGCTGGCTTGTCCATTCAACGTCGCCACCGCGGTCGCACATAGCACTAATGTGACAAGCTGAATTCTAGTAGATCCAATCGGAGCCGGGCCTATGTATATCACGCACTGGTAGAGTCGTGTCGAATGGGGATGCAAGTGAAGATGAGACATCGGATCTTTGCGCCTGTAGCTTCGCACAACTTGCTATGTAAATTATGTACTCCCGCCATGGACCGTTCGGGCCGGCTGGGGTGTCCCGGGTCCGAGCTACAAGTCGTACTAGAAGCTAGCGCTGAACTGTGCTTTGCTATCAACATCGGTGACCTCGGCGACTATGTAGTCGGCTTTGCTCTCTGCTCGACGAATATTTCTTGCGACTCTAGGATCTCGGCTCCAGCTCTCGGTTCACTTTGGCATTCAGGTCTCCTTCGGTCGACGCTCGGCGTATCCATAGAGCTCTTTTCGGACTGGATAACCGACCTATTGCCCCGGACTCCTTTGTTCAAGTTTGTTTCTCGCTGTACCAACATGCCCGCTAAAGGAGAGAGATAGAGACACGGCTCTCTACACGCTGTATGTTTGCGAACGGGCTCCTGTGATGTTCCATAACGTGTCGACTGCATCATGTTCGCCGCATGTCGCCTACTTGCCTGAAGACATGATAGGGACGAGACTGCCACCGAGGGACATATAACTATAACCGTATTGCGTCGAGACAAACACCTCAGGGACGTGGTATCTATCCACGATATTGCGTCGGAGGTCTCAATGAGCGGATTCGCGCTGCAGCAACGTTGGTGTGGTGAGTCTGTAGTCTGACAGAGAAGCTGTCTCCGGCATCATCCGTGCGCTTTTCTTTCCGAGAGCCTTTCAATTGGCATCTCCGTGCAGGACAGTTTCTGCATGACCTAGACCCTTTTCAAACTTACTGAGCTCTCGCTCTCTGAATGACTTTGATCCCTTTGGATGCCGGAATACCATGAGAATAACGCATATTCTACATATGATGTCGCCTCATCTAGTCCGAGGGATCCGCCCCGAGCGGGCTTACTGTAGGCTTCCATTCAAGATGCTCGACACGCCGACCGCGTCCGTCGCAAAGCGCTGCACTAGTGCACCCTCGTGAGAGCCGTCCCGGACATCTATCCCATCTGTACTGCCAATGTGGTAAGCGGCTATCTATTCCTGATATTGCCTCGACAAGTCGCCGTCGCATATGTCAGTTCTGAAGTCGCCCCCTCATCGCCGGAGCGCGCAATACAGTTTAATCATCGATCCTTCGTGCCAGTCCGATATACATGCCTCCCCCATGGCGCAAATGTGCTCGTCAACCTCTTATCATACCCAAGCCCACCTCCTCTCGCTCGCGCAGATCTCGCCATGTCTCAGCACGCCGACCGCGACGTCGAAGCCGCGAGGGGGAGCTCCCAACAAGGGTGAGTCTCACCGTGTGTTCATGTTTTTGTCAGAGTTATATAATTGTTTGCTTTTCTAGCCCTCCCGATCGCACTGTGGACGACCCCAATGATGTGTCCCAGGAGAACATATTCGAGGACATTGAAGAAATTGCGGAGAAGGGGATGAAGTTCGTGCTCATGCCGGTCTGGGCGCGAATGAAGCCCGAGGACATGCCCACATATCCCACGTGGGAAGAGAGCCTGCACGACATGTTCGTGAAGTGTTGTGAGTTCTTTCCTTTGCTTGCAACGGCCGGAGGGGGAGACTGTCTGGACCAGGGTACAACATCCCTTTCGTCGTGGTTCCGCTCGCGCTCGCCTGGGCCTCGCATTTCGACTCGGAGAAATGGGGCAACAACACTACATTCGTTCGTGAGTATCATTGCGGCAACCGAAGATGATCAATTCTAGACTCTGCAAACAGTTTGCTTCATCGCCATGATCCCACTACAGAAGATCTTCGACTGGGGCGGAGACGAAATCGGTTTGTTCCTCGGAAACGAGCCACGGGATCTCTTGGTCATCACACTGAGCAAGTAAGTCTTCAGACTCTAGACCCGTTGTGTATCTGACCCACCATCTTCTAGTGCTATTGAGGCGGCATTAGCTATTATCCTGCTCTTCAGGTGCCAGTGCGTATCTCAGTAGCTACCCTCATTTACGACGCCTCATCCTCATCCTCATCCTCATCGGCGCTGTCATACTAGGCTAAGGCTACTGCAATCAACAGTGATCGGTACGTGTCGAGCATAGTCATTCCAAGTACAACATATGTACTTGTCATCTATAGGCGTCGTCCTTCTCCATCTCCTCCTTATCCCTGGAGTCGCTTTCTTTATCCAAGGTGCCCAGATCTATGAGCAACGGCTCCATCAATTCTCAAACCTGAACCACTCTCTGCTCATGATCGGGTTCGTTCTCCAAGTCTCATATATGTCTATCTTGTGTCTTACTCATGATGAACGAATACAACAGAGTCCTTGGAATTCTGGTGCCAACTGTATTCTTTGCTGCGTTGGACCGCGGGTCCGTTGCTGCGGGGAGCGGCGACCAGTCTGGGTTGCCAGCGCCCTTCGTACCTTTGGTCAGTGACGCAGTGCGCCGCGACATTGTCCAAATGAGTCGCGGAATCGCCGTCATGCTCCTTCTTATGTGCGTTGTCTTGATCATTCCTTCGCGCGACTCTCCATCACTTATCATGTGCATACCAGTTACATCACTGGATGCCTCTACCGTCATAATGTCTTGCCTCTCCCTGGTCATCCTGAACCCGTTCCACCTCCTGCCCGAGCCAACACGCTCAACAATGCTCTGCAGACTGGCATCAACGATGGGCATCATCAGAGTATGCCAAGTACCGGCATCGTGAACTCGATTTCGTCGCCACCGCGCACAGTGCGCTCGATCTCCAGCGGCACTTTGAGTCATTTGCGCACACCGACAAACTCATCCTTTCCCCCGGCTCAATTGAACAACTGTGGGAAGGCGCCTCCCCCGAAAAGCGAGGTGAATCCGTGGGTGTGCGTCGTGCTCGTCATCGTCGCGGTAGCGTTCATGGGTGTTACAGCCGAGTTTGTAAGTCTCCTTGCTCAGTTTCCCGCTCTCGATTTGGCTGATTACGGAGCCCCACTCGCGAAGCTCGTCTCAAGCATAGAGACCCTCCTCGAGACGAGTGACATCCAGACAGAGTTCGTCTGTCGTTCCCCTATCATGCGTCGCTCTGTCTGATGTCCCGTCGATCCACTTGCCCTCGTGCACAGATGGTTCGGGCTCGTCCTCCTCCCTATCGTCTCTTTCTCTGCAGACGGCGCGGTTGTTGTCTGGAACTTCTCCATTGCGCTCTGTCGATACGCCGTCCGCCGCATACGATCGCGCAGGGCGAGGAAGGCCTCGTCCGCTGAGACTAGCACGGATACACAAGCGCCAAGGGAACAGAAGACCGTACCCACGCAACGTGTCTTGCAGGACGCTCCACACATTGACTACGTCGATGAGCCCGCAGAGATCGAGTCCCATCATGAGCCACCAACCTACGGCCCGCGTCCTTCCCAGTCCACTTCGACTCTTCGCACAGCAAAGAGCCGGGAGGTGGCTTCCTCTGACCCGAACCCGAACCCGAGCGCAGCCAAGGCCAACCCTAGGGTCCGCCGCCGCCCCACAACCGGATCTAACAGGCAAGCTGGCTGGAACGCAGGGAATGAGCCAAAGGAGCAGGTAGAGCAAGACAGCTCAGAAGACGTACTCGAGCTCCCCTGGGTCTCCGAGTTCGCGCACGGGCGGCCGATCGACCTCAGCATCCAGTTCACGCTCTGGTGGACACCTTTCCTCGTCCTCCTCGGATGGTGGACCGGGCGCCCGATGCATCTCCTCTTTGGTACGTCTGCTCATCCTCCTCTGGATGATCTTACGAGTTAACCTGGCTACCACCAACAGACTACTTTGAGGTGGGCATGCTGCTGGGGGCATGCTTCCTCGTCAACTACGTGACGGTGGACGAGAAGACGAACATGTCCGAGGGACTGACGATGATATCCTTCTATGCCATGATCGTGAGTGCCATTCCTTCCCCGTCAATTCTGTTCTCTGCATTCGGCGTCGGCGTCAGTAGCTGACGAGTGATACAGGCGACAGCGGCGTGGTTTTATCCAGGCCAACCACAAGTCGCGTTCATGCTCAACTGCCCGGGAACCGTGGCGGAGGCTGTGGCCCAAGGCGCGGAAGGAACAGGGCAGAATTTGGTGAAGATACTGATATGATCCCCTCCACACTCATCATCGCACGCGTAAATGTGCTCTAAATCTATCAATATCACCATAATCAATGTACTTGTTCTGAAGTTAAGTTATGTAAGCAAAGTGGCCGAAACCGTCCGCGAGCTCTTGGACGTCTCCAGATCGGTGTGCAACCTCTCGCTCAACTCTAAGTACATCGACTGTCCCTTTTCGCCCCAAGGCGCCCCTCCTGGATCACCCTCGGTCTTCTGTTTTGTCGTCTGATCACTCCTGCTTTTGACCCGTAGTCCACTGTATTAACGGGGTTACGAGCCGACTACGGTAGGATCTAATGTAATCAGTGCCTCAGTGGGGAAAAGACTGAGGCACTGGTCGACACGAACGTCGGTATAAGTGAGCGACGGGGAGCGCCCGCGACTGATGGTGGCGGGCGATAAGCTCGCCATGTGGGCGCAGGCGCTCAGGTACGAAACCCAACGTTCTCGAGACTTCGTCGGCGCTTGCACGCCAACACTCCCCCTCAAGCCTGACGAAGGCCGAGAGCGAAAGCGAGCATCTTGACCCGGGGACGAGGGAGCGCCTTCGTGAGCAAGTCGGCCACCATCTCGTTGGTTGGACAGTAGCGGAGGATCATACTACGTTGCACAACAAGCTCGCGAATGTGGTGATAGCGAATGTCGATATGCTTCGTGCGAGCGTGGAAGATGTCGGGATTGTCGACGAGCTTGAGAGCGCTCTGGTTGTCGCAGAGGAGAAGGGTCGGGGCCGCTAATGGAGCAGTGAGCTCTGATAGGAGGTTGCGGAGCCAGACGGCTTCACGAGACGAATCGGAACGG